TTGAGACAGGGTTTCTCTGTGTAACAGCCCTGGCTGTCCTGGAACTCACTCTGTAGACCAGGCTGACCTTGATCCACCTGCCTCTGCCTCCCAAGTGCTGGGATTAAAGGAGTGTGGCACCATTAGCTGGCACAATTAAAACTTTTTTTAAAAGGCATAAATGTAGGCGTAAAGGTTTTGTACAACCTACTTAGGTCACTTTTCTTCTACTCTCAGTTCTGAGAACAGTGGGGCTAAAAGCATCCAAGAGAACAGCTGGGTTCCTCCAAGTCCAATGTGTGAGGTTCAAGAGCAGAAGTGGAAAGGTTGAGTACTTATTAACTCCATCAGGTGGCAGTGGCAACAGTCCCCCTGGTTACAGGCCTCTATTATCTACTCAAAGGGATCATTCCAGTAGACCATTAAGATACCACTGTTCCCTCCAGAGTGCTGTATGAGAGATGTGTGTGGAGGTATGTGGATATTATCAGTTCAGACACAGAGTCTTATATAGATACAGCTCATGGCTCACATGAGTCCAGCTAAACAGCCCCCCCCCCCCAAGAAATGTCTGCTGTAAGATCTGTGATGTTCTTTCTCTATCCATCAAGAATGGATCAACAGTGTGGACCTGCCTGCTAACCATAGCCAGCTCTGGAAGGCTTACCTCTATGTCACTCAGAGGCTGGCGAAGCTGCAGATATCCTTTTGTAATGGCCAATCTGGCCTCTATGTCTGGATCAACTTGCAAAGCATAAGTTCTGGAAGTGGCAGGTGCTGGGTGGACCTGTGGGCTCGTCTTGTGCTCAGTTCTGCTGCTTCCCCTTTCCCTAGTACCTGAGTCCATGCACATTTGATCAAGAACAGATTCTTTACCAGTGCTTCCTAGACAATAAGCTGGTGTTATCTAGGGGTGAATCCTACATGTGGAAGGAGCCTGGCTGGTTCCATCTTCTCTTTGCAGTAAACTGACATCAGCTAAAAGTGGGTGAGTGCTGCCACCCACTTCCCAGTCCTGACATCCAGTAATGGGGCCATCAACTCTTCCTTAAGTCATTTATTCTGTCTCCAATACCTCTAGCCACCCTTTTCTATTCTTAATTATGCCCCTTTGTAAACAGGAATCAGCCAAGTAGTCATCTCTCCATGCATTCCACCTTTTGAGTAGCCTATGTTTTGTGCCTGCCATGTGTTTGAGTGTGTCTTTTGGAACAGAAGCTTCTAAGAAGCAATTCTCTGCACATGTGGGGCTAGTGTCTAGCAGATTCAATGTACAGACAATCGTGCATGTTATGTTGGGGTCCACACATTCCTCTGACAGCATGAAGACTTGATGTTTATTTGAATAATTATTTATAGCATCTCACTAATTGCCAGACACTTTCCTACCTGCTGAGCCTATAGCAGTGGGCCACTTAGCCTCATAAAGTTCATCATACAGCAATATCTTTTAGTCTAGTGTAGAAAATACACAATGGGAAGGCAGGCATGGTCATTCACACTTGCAGTCCTGACACTTGAGGCACTGAGACAGGAGGTCTGAGAGGTCAGAGCTAGTCTGGGCTACATAGAGAGACCCTGTATCATAAATAATCAAGCTCAGTGTAGGTTAAGAGGCAAATAAGCCACAGCGCAGACTTTGACAAAGACCTTGTTATTTCTGTCATGGCAATGATTTGACTACCAAGTTAAAAAAAGAGCCTGAAGAGATAATAGAACAGGTTGCCTTCAAGTTCTATCTCAAAGAAGGGAGGACTTATCTTAGCACCCATAAACCAGAGGCTCTGATGGACATCCACAACCCAGGTCTGTCTGGACTCTACCTGCACACCACTGACTCATTCTCTCTCTGTGTCCCCTTTGGACCTTCTAGCCATGGATCTGTTCTGCCTGGTGCTCAAGGAATAAAAAAAAAGACATTATGCTGAAAGAACAGGAGCAGGCAATCGGGATGTAGGCTGTTGGCTTCCAGCCGGTGGCTCCAGCTAGCTTGCAGTCACATACTCAGGGGTCCCTGATATTAGCCTCTTGCCCAGAAGGCTGGAGGAGTAATTGGTGCTGCTGTGTTGTCTAACCTCACTAATCAAGTCCCCTAATCTGCTGTCTGTCATTTTTAGAAGCCTTGTTTCTTTTAGTCTTTGCTAGCTATTATGTACACAAAAATGATGTTTTTATTTTGATGGGAGTGGGAGGGACTAAAAAGATTTGGAAGGGTAAAGGGAATTCCCTGGGTTCCTTTTTAGATGGCTTTGTTTTATATTCAGTATTTAATAAATATCATTCTCTGTTCTCCCCAGTTCTTTTATTCTTACTCACATACCATCTTGGGAGATGATTTCTTTTTTTGTTCTAAGTTCTTTGGAAAGCTTGAATGTGAAGAATACTGTCTGGAGAGATCATGAACCTAAGTTCAAATCCCCAGCACCCCATGTAAAAACCTGGCCATGGCTTCAAGTACACATATCCTCAACACTGGGTGGCAAGGTACAGACAGGTGGACCATACTATATTACCAGAATCAAGTCTAGCTGAAATGGTAAGTAATTCCATCTCAATGGAAGAAGGTTGCCAGCTGCTTGGGTTTATGATGGGGGTTGCCCTTCTGTATATACATTTTTCTTATTGGTTGATGAATAAAACACTGATTGGCTGATTGGCCAGGCAGGAAGTATAGGCAGGGCTAGGAGAGGAGGAGAATTCTGGGAAACGTAGGCAGAGGGAGTTGTCATGTAGAGCCTGGGAAGAGAGGAGGGGCAAGTTGTTCTCCAGTAAGCCAAGACCATGTGGAGATACATAGATTAATAGAAATGACTTAATAATTAAGACAGAGCTAGCCAATAAGAAGCCCAAGCCACCGGCCAACAGTTTTATAATTAATATAAGTCTTGTGTGTTTATTTGGGGCTCTCAAGGGCAGAGGGACTGCTGGACAAAGAACCTCTTGTTACAGGTTTAGTTAATTCCAAATGTAGTCAAGTTAACAGCCAAGAATAGTCATTGCAAGTCAACTTGACACACAATTATATCTTATGTTTAATTTCCAAGTGACAACAAAAATGAGGTCATGATTACACCTAATATAATTATGACTATCCCACAAACAAAGGCAAACACATTATAATTTTAGATCAGGTAGCAATATTCCTTGAGGGACATTCTTTTAGTATCTCATAACTTAAATATGGTAACCACTGATATTATCTTAATTGATATTACATGATAAAGAAATTGATGAACAAAAACAAATACATGTGCAAACCCATTCTTAGCAAAATATGACAGAACATTCATGTCAATCATAATCCTCATTGCAGCAAGTGGTATTTATAATTACCTTCCTCTACTACCCTTTCTGTATTTCCTCCACCCTCACGGAGCACCACAGCAGGTCTTGGTTCTTTTCCTGGAGGAGTGAACCACACCTTCATTTCTGATGGAACTGTGCCCTCTGTCATTCTGCCTGGATTAGGCTGCTGTAGTTTCCCATTGACTTTAATCAGGACACCCTAAGGGACTGTTTTAGGATTTCCATTGCTGTGAAGAGACACCATGATCATGGCAACTTAAAAGAAAACATTTAATTGGGGCTGGCTTACATTTAGGGGTTTAGTCCCATTATCTTCATGGTGGCGTGCAGGTAGACATGGTGCTGGGAAAGGAGCTGAGAGTTCCACATCTTGATTCACTGGCAGCAGAAGCAACTATGTGTCACAGTGAGTGTAGCTTGAGCATAGGAGATCTCAAAGCCTGCCCCATACAGTAACATACTTCCTCCAACAAGGCCACACACACTCCAACAAAGCCACACCTCCTAATAGTGCCTCTCCCTCTGGGGGTCATTTTCTTTCAAACCATTACAAGGATCTCCTGCATTTCAGATAATAATCTTTCTTCCCTTCATTGTGAAGAAGCAATTCAATTCCCCATGGTAATCTGGATCAATCACCCAGCCCAACACTTACTTCTTTCTTAGCCTGTTGGCTTAAGGGCATCAGAAGCTCCAAGTGGCCAGGAGGAAGTCTGAGATTTCAGTTCCATGTTGGTTGTGTCTCCAAGCAGGTTGTGTCTTCCCCATCTGAAACTACAACTTCTAGGCCAACAGAACTCAGGGTTTTGGAAACAGGAAGATACAATTTTCCTAGTGGAAATTAGTCACTAAGGACGATAGTAAGTGGAACCATTCCCCTTTCCACTCCTTGATTCCTGTGAATCCTGGCTATGGGAGAAACCTTATACCATATATTGGATGATGATTACTTCTGTCTTAGTTACTGTTCTATTGCTGTGCTGAAATATCATAACCAAGGCAACTTACAAAATGAAGCATTTAATTGGGGGCTTGCTCACAGCTTCAGAGAGTTAGTCTACTACCATTATGGTGGGGAGTGTGAAGGCAGGCAGGCAGGCAGGCAGGCAGGCAGGCAGGCAGGCAGGGTGCTGGAGCAGTAGCTTAGAGCTTACATCCTGATCCCCAGGCAGCAGGCAGAGAAAAAGACTGGGCCTGGTGGCATGGGCTTTTGAAACCTCAAAAACCAGTGTCCTAATCCTTAAAAGTAGTCTACCAACTAGGGAACAGATATTCAAGTATATGAGCCTCTGGTGGTTACCATCATTCAAACCACACGCCTTCAGTGACAGATTGAAACTATCTTGTCTTGTCACCTGATCAGTCACTGGTTCTCAGTGTCTCCTGTGTGAATCTAGCTGCTGTTGGACTACCTAGGCTCGACTGTGTTCCTGATCTAATTTAAGAAGCTTATAGATGACTATATTATATTTGTATAAATACATTATCAATTTAAGCCTCACATCTGTGCTAGACAAGAGGTTGTTTCTTTGCATAAATAAGAGGTGAAGTCACTGGATTTGTTATTTACACAAATGAAAGCTAGTCATTTTTTACTTCTTGTTGTCTGCTTGCTTGTACTGGGTATTGAACTTTTCCCTTTGTTGCCTGGCACCTCTAAAAATCTATTTTATATAAACTGGAATTCAAAGAGCCTGCTCCACCTTTGAGGGGCTTTTCATTCCCGTGTGTCCCCACCATGTGTGCCATGTGAATATACATGTCCATAACTTTCTATTTTTCTCTTGTAAATCTTTTTTCCCTCCAACTAAGAATTTTCAGGAGTTGAGGGAAGCCTGTGCAAATAAATGGATGGTGGGGAGATCACGTGCACAGGTGACACTCAGGAGGTACAGTGTTTTAAGAGGATGCTTACTTTAACCGAGGAAGAAACTTCCATGATCACATACATGTCTCTGACCAAGGATTTCCAAAATGCTAGAGATCTGAGCTCAGGCCAGGGAGAGAAAGATGGAGAGGGCATGGTTTTGTCTTGGCCAAGATCTTCACTCCTCTGTCCCAAGCCTCAAAGTTCAGACTCTTGTTTCTAGAGGGCACCTAAGTGTTGAAGCCCAGAGCTTCCAAGCCTGCATTCTGGGGGGAGGGCGCAGGCTCCTTCCCCTACATCCTCTTCTGGTCACCAGGGGGCAGGCTGCCCCAGTGTCCCGGAAGTCAGGCCCAGAGGATATCGCGCGCGAAACCCGAAGCCCAAAGTAGGTGCTATCCCTTCTCTTTGTGCACCAAAGGGGCCAGCTAGGCTGCCCTGTGCTGTTGACTGCTACGCCTTTTGGGTCTGGAAGTCCTAAGAGCAGTCACACAGGCTCCGAGAGCCAGGAAAACGAGGGCGGGCCCTGCAGACCACACTCTGCCTTGGTTGGTGGCTAGATCGCTAGGCAGGAAGAGCCCCACTCCCACCCCGCACTGCCTTGGTTCCTGCTGGGTTCTGGCTGCGCCCACCCAAGCCCGAGCATTTAACAGTGCCCTTCCTCTGACCTGGGCTGTCGTGTTGAGGAGGCCCCCGAGATTTACAAAGCAAATTTGAACTGCGGGCCGGGCCGTCGTGCCCCCCCTCCCCCCGCGCGCCCGTCTACCATCAGCCGTCCTTTCTACCAAGTAAGACTTGTACCTTAAGCCAGGGAAATCAGAGAGCGTTTGTGATAGAGTGACTCATATTTCAGACATTTGGCCACCAGCCAGGATTTGGTATGAGTGCTTTATCACCTTCGGATCCTCACTGTTGCCTTTGAGGTGGGTTTTGGTCCCATCAGAGCACAAGTGAGGCACGAATGAGGGCTGCTTAGGAAGCTCTTATGTTGTTGGCAGCTAGGAGAACCTTGCCTCCTTTGTGAGTGGAGTTGGGAGTGCATTTGTGACTCCTACTATCCCCTCCCACTAGTTCCCACCTCCATCAGCTCCAGATCACCTGTTACACAAGAGCACCACAGCAATGATCTGCTTGGGGAAAAGCCTGGTGTTTTGAAATTGAGGTGAGCCAGGGTGGGGGAGAGATCATTGAGTGACCCCCCGAAGCTGCAGAATGAAAGCCAGATGTAGAAATGGAGCAAGCTAAAGCTACAGTAGATTGAAGTTATTTAAATGTAGCATGCAGAATGTGGTACCCATAGATCCTCAGTAGATTTGTTTGTTGAAGTGTTTCACTCAATAGGGACAAAGGGGATGAACACACAAACTTGCAAAAAGAGGGAGATATCTGTGTGGTAGTCCCAGCTACTCAGGAGGGATACCTTGAGCCCAAGAGTTCAATGCAACTTCAGGGGACAGAGGAGGAGGGGACGCTTGCCCTGTTTGTAAAGTGTCCAGTCATTAAAATGTAGTCATAAAGACTACATTTTATCCCCAGAACCCACATAAAAATAGTCAGTTGTGCATCCTCATAATTCCAGAGCTGGGGAGGTGGAGACAGGCAGGTTTCTGGGCCTTACTGGCTACCCAGTCTAACCCAATCTGCAAACACCAGAGTTTAGGGAGAGACCCTGTCTCAAAAAATATGGTGGATAGTTCCTAGAACAACACCAAAGGTTGTTCTTGGGCCTACACATAGACAGACAGACAGACAGACAGACAGACAGACAGACAGACAGACAGACAGACACACACACACACACACACACACACAAGAGCAGAAGCCCTTCAGCGGGCCTGTGCATTTGTGTTTTGGCAGATGTTCCCTCTTCCTCAGAGGGAATCCACAGCACCGACTGCACCTTCAGGCTCAACCTCTTCTCGGGACATGGACAGTGGCTATGGTGATGATCTGCAAGGAGAATGCCTCAGAAAGCCAGACTGGAAGCAGTCCAAACTCTATGGAGTGGGTGACCCCATGGCCATGTTCTCCTCTGATAGCTCCTGCCTGTCCTCTAGAGGAAGAGTCATCAAATGGTTCTGGGACTCAGCTGAGGAGGGCTACAGAACCTACCACATGGATGAGTTTGATGAGGACAAGAACCCCAGTGTGAGTGAAGACCCCTCCCCACTGGGACCCAAGAGCAAACTAACTGCAGAGCAGCCAGCACCCAGCTTGCTCTTGTCAGGTTGGAGTTATGAACCTTTGGCTCCAAGAGGGCTGGTAATGTCTGCTCTGTAGGTTGTTCATTTCTGAGATGGGCTGGTAATGTCTTCTGTGTAGACAGATCATCTCTGAGATGGGCTTTTATGTCTTCTCTGTAGACAGGTCATCTCTGAGATGGGCTGGTAATGTCTGCTCTGTAGAAATGAGACTAGAAGTGTGAAATTAGTGTTTGCCATATAGGAAACTTGATAAATACAGCTGCTGTTATTATTCATATCATCTGCCACAATAACCATAATCTATTACACATAATAATTTAGCAAAGAACTACACAATAACACTTATTAATAGTTTTGATCTGCTGAGCATCCACCAGGTATCAGCGACTGTTCTAGAGGTACTGGTGTCATACTTCAAATCTTGCCCTATGTATTTATATTTTAGTTGAGATGGACAGGTCAAAAATACATATAACATTTACTGTTAGGCACTGCAGAGAAAATGAAGATAGGGTGAGGTGGACAGAGGATGATGGTCTGCTAGGAAATGTTGCTGTTTGATATAGGATGTCATAGAATGCTATTTTAATCAGGAGACACTAGAACAGAGGCTTGAAAAAAAAAAGTGAGAGGGATTGTGTTAATTACCCATTGCTGTAACAAATCACCCCAAATCTCAGCAGTTTACCTAGCAAATATTTCCCGGTTGCTGGAGCTCAGGACTCCTGGTGGGTGTCTTCAGACCAGGGCTTTCTGTCACAGTACCTTGAAGCTGGTACTGTGATCTCATCTGAAAGCTTGCGGGGTGATGGGACTTGGACAGGTGAGAGGCTCCATCTCCTGGTGGGCACCTGTTCCTCTCCACATGGACTTTTTCCCGGAACTGCCTCAGATATGGCAGCTGGCTCCCTCTAGAGCAGATGACTCCAGGAAGAATGAGAGATCATGAGAACCTAATATGGAAGCCACACACTTTTATGACCCAACCTTAGAAGTGACATCCCATCAGTTTTGCATGTTCTTTTTATCAGGAGCAGTTGGCAGATTCAGTCTCTACCCAGGGTGCCATGGTAGAGGCTACCAGGAGCCATGCAGCTCAGAGGATAGCTGGTACAAAGGCTCCAGGCTGCAACTATGCTGGATCAGATCAAGGGTCAGCAAAGGAACCAGTGGGCTGTGGTAAAGCCAGACTGGTGGGTGATGGGGTCAGAAAGGCTATGGGTATTGTAGGGCCTCATGGGACATGGTGACAGTTCTTTCTGTAGACAGGGGTGGGTAGGAAGTGTTCAGGAGAGGAGCAGTGTGCATGAAGCAATTTCAGTTTTTTTTTTAAAGACATCTTGGACTTCCATATGAAGACCCAATGACAGGTGAGGGAGTGGACAAGAGAGGAGATGGGAGCTATGGCAGTGATCTGGTCAGGAGCTATGGTGACTTACACTAGGGTCTCAGCAGTGGGGCATGATAAGTGGCTGGCTGAATGGGTTGGCTGTGTCTGGAGGAAACAGAACATTGCCTTTTATTTGTCTTACTCTCCGCTCATTCAAGTTTAGTTGTTTTGTCTTTCCTGCTTCCTTCACTCCCCACATAAGGTAGGGCTCAGGAGTTGTGTCTCCTATTAGGATTAACACCTTATGGGGTGGCAATTGGACATTGTGTCCTGTTAGCTGGGCCTCCTAGGGAATAATTTACACTGACAAGGGGGGTGTCCACTGACCACCCCACCCTTGTATTTGGTCCTAGCAGAGTATAATTTATAGTATGCAGGTTTTTTTTTTCATTCTATAAATGTTTCTGGAGAGACACAGTGGTGTCTGGGGCATGAATTTGCCTTCAGGGATCTAGCTATCATCAGAGAGAGCTCTACCCTGATCCTTGTGCCATGGAGCAGAAATTGAGTGGTTTTCTAAGGGCAGGGGAGTGGTGGAAAGAGACGAGTGGGACTCCAAGACTCAAAGAGTCCTTCCCAGTGGGGCTTGGGGGAAGGTTTCTTGCTGGAGGTGGTATTTAGACAGTGTTGGAAATGGCAGATGGGATTTTGGAGCCCAATGAGAAAAGACAAAGAGGGTGGTGGGAGGGTAGACTGGTGCCCACTTTGTTGTCTGTGGGTTCCCCAGGCTGTTTGTTGGCATTCCTTTGTCATGTTCACCCTGCCTCTACACTTTGTCTTCAGGGCATCATTAACTTGGGCACCAGTGAGAACAAACTCTGCTTTGACCTTCTGTCTAGGCGGGTGAGTAGTGGGACTGCAATCACCAGGGGCTTCTTGAATCCTTTGCCACAGTAGCTTGCAGCATGCCTCAGGAGCCCTGATGTAAGAGCTGGGAGACATGGATTCCAGGTCTGCCTTGGGAACAACTCTGCTTCCCCTCCCCTCCCCTTTCTCTCCCTTCCCCTTTCTCTCCCCTCTCCTTTCTCTCCCCTTCCCTTTCTCTCCCTATTCCCTTTCTCTCCCCTTCCCTTTCTGTCCCCTCCCTTTTCTCTCCCTCCCCTTTCTCTCCTCTCCCCTTTCTCTCTCCTCTTTTCCTTTTCCTCATCTTCCCTACCCTGTCTGCCAACAGAACTATATCCATCTCTAGTCCTTAATTTTTTTTTTTCTTCACTGGGGATTGAACCTAGCACTTACACAGTCTAGGTAAGCTAAACCATACCCTCTACCATTTTACCTTTTTATTCTAAGTCAAGGTCTAAGTTGCTCAGGCTGATCAGAACTTACTCTGCCAGACAGGCCTTGGATTTGCAATCCTCCTACCTTAGTGTCAGGTGTAGCTGGGATTACAGGCCTGTACCACCAGGCCTGGCTTCTATGGCTGTTTCTAATCCATCTTTAAAATATTTTAAAATTTCATCAGATTTCCTTTTAAAATGTATTTTATGTGTATGGGTGTTTTGCTTGCTTATATGTGTATGCACCAGGTACATGCCTGGTATGAGGCCAGAAGAGGGAGTCTGATACCCTGGAACTGTAGTTACAGATGGTTGTGAGCTGGGAATTGAACCCAGCACCCAAGAAGCTGAGGCAGGAGGAGTGCTGTGAGTCTGGGGCCATCTTGGGCTTCAGAGTAAGTGCCAAGAGAACCAGGGCTACATGGCAAGAGCATGTTTCAATTCTCCAAAAGTAAAAATAGCTAAAATTGGTTTCAGTAATATCTTATTTACCTAATATATCTAAAATATAACAATATCATCTGGTAGTAAATATATAATTATTGGTATCTATTAATACTTATTTTTATGAGGGCTTTATAGTTCAGACTAGCAAGCAACCTAGTAAGTGCTAAGTAGCCACAAATACCAGTGGCTTTGATGTTGAACCTGCTCTTAGGGGCAACAGGAGGGAGATAAATGGCTGGGACCAGGCATAGAGAAGTAGATTCCAACTTTTCTGGTCCCCCTGCCCAAGGACACTGGTAATGGCTCTCTTTGACCTTATAGCATGGTGCTCTAGTGTCACTAATCAAGTACCTGCCTGTCTAAGGGATGGTCTAAAATTTTCTGCCATATACAAAGGGTGAGGTTAAGTAGAACCTGCAGGAGACGGTATCCTGAGTTCTCTCTCTGAAGTTGGAGCCAAGGCCAAGTTTACATCACCCAGCTCTGGAGCCTCCTCTGATCTCCGGGAAAATGGAGTGGTGTGCCCCGCCCCCAACCAGTGCTTCTGCACCCTCCCCTCTGATTTTGTTGTATAGAGAACTAGAGTCGAAAATTCTGGATATGGGTTTAGCCCTGCCACTTGCTAGCTAGGTGGCCTTGCCTTCACTTTGTGAGCCTTGGTTTGCTTATCTGTGAAATGGGCCCCGGAGTGCTGTCCTGTATTCCTGTCACTTTCCCCAAGGAGCACAAGAAACCAAAGGTTCTAGAGGCCCTCAGGCTGTGCAGATGTGGGTGACAGTGCTGGCCCTCAGCCTTGCTCTGTTTCCTTTGTGTCCCCAGCTGACACAGAGTGACATGCTTCACATGGAGCCATCTCTGCTGCAGTACCCTGACTGGAGGGGACATCTGTTGTAAGTAGTTGCCACAGGTTGGTGGGTCTAAGTATGAGGCAACACTGACCCCAGGAAGGTACCGTAGTGCCTGGACACATTCCTGGTTGGTGTAATTGGGAGAAAGGACTGCTGGCCAGGGATGTGCTGTTAAACCTACAAAGCACAGGGAAGTTTCTCAACAAAGAATTGTTCGTCCACGGTATCAGTAGAGGCAGAGTGAGTAAGCTGACTGTGGACTGGACATAGTTGTGGAGACTGGTGACCAGGGGCTGTCCTGCCAGCCCCAGATACATCCCTAGGTTTCCCAGCTTGGTTCCTATGACCCTAAGTCTGAGGTGAGTGAGGAGACTGTCCTTGATTTTCTAGTAGCTTTAGAGATGACAGATGATGTCTAGGGAACTGGCTGAGACTCACTCTCAATAGTAAGATGGGTCAAGGATTGACTTAAAGCACCTTAAGACTGCTGTGTACTGATTATTTGCTGGGGGTCAGGCTCTGTTCTCAGGATCAGTGGCCCAGCAGGACCTGACCCAAGATGTATTCCAAAGCTCATATTCTTAGAAAAGAGTCATCAGGATCGTGAGCCCTGGGGCAGGCTGCTGGGCTTGCGCATGAACTCTGCCTCTTACCAACAAGTGATTTAATCCCCTCAAACCTCAGTTTCTTTGTAAAATGGGAATGATAGCCACCACGGAATATTCTCCAAATAACATTTGTGTAATGTTGAAACTCAATAAGAGCCACGGTAACAGTTTCTATTAAGATAATGTTTATTATCAGCTATCATCAGCTAGATCTATGTAGCATTAGTTTTCATCTGTCTTCTGATTGAGGGGGCTGGGGCTGGGTGTCCTAGAACCACACAGAGTGAACGCTTTGTGGCTGGATGGGGGAGGGTATGCTGGAATGGAGACAAATGCCTACCACCTTCACTTCCTGGGACGGGAGGATGGAACAGTGGCAGCTAGCCACCTGTGGGCTCCCAGAGGGACTCTGAGGTAGACTGGTCTGAGAACCCTCTGACAAGTGTTGCACATTGTTGGTCTGTCTTTCTAGCCTCCGGGAAGAAGTAGCAAGGTTCCTGTCTTTCTACTGTAAGAGCCCAGCACCCCTCAAACCAGAGAACGTGAGTTACCCCTTCCTTAGGGGTGAGGATTAGAGGGCGCTTGGGGTCTGCCTTTTACTTAGTTTTATATCCAAGAGGCCATTGTGCTGTGGCCTCTTGACCTCTGAGAGAGACCCCTAGAGTAACCATTTTGTTTCTAGTTCACTTTATCAAGAGCAGGGTCCCCAGAAATAATCTTGGCTGGGAACCAAGAGAGACCTTCGTCAGGATGGATCCCCAGGGCAGTGGGGAGAGTCTTGGCCCTTCTCCTGGTCCTTGTTTTTCTCTGTCCCCGACAGGGTCGCCTTATCTCTTGTCACCCCCAGGTGGTTGTTCTGAATGGCTGTGCCTCTCTCTTTTCCGCTCTGGCCACAGTGCTGTGTGAGGCAGGAGGTAAGTGAACTTCGTGCCCCCCATGCCCCCATGCCCCCCAGCTTTGTACCAAGGCTGTGCTGGGCTAGGATCCCAGTCTCCTGGCATCAGGAGTCCTTCAGCTGTAGGAGAATATAGGAGGATTACAGCACCTTAAGTGAGTGGCTTGACCAGACATCTGGGACTGCAGTTCTCAGGGAGATTCATGTGGGGTCAGGGTCCTGCTTTCTCTCTCTGAGTTCCTCAGCTTGCCTTTCATGTTTACCAGGTCATTGTCAAAGCCTTCTCTGACTCTGTGTCTTATAGAAAGAAGAGAAAGACAGTTCCAACAAATCAGTGTCTCTCCTGTCAGGCAGGGCATCGGGGGTGCTCTTTCCCAAAAGGGTCCCAGTGGGATCCTTTCACTGAATAGAAATTACTTGTGAACCTAAAGGAGTCCTTGGCAAAAGCACTTAAGGGAGCCAATGCCAGCTTAAACCAAGCTGGTTCACACTATGGCTGGGGAAGGCCTGACTTGGACATATTTCTGGTCTTCTTTCAAACAAACAAACAAAATAACCAAGCAAACCAAACTAAACAAAAACCATACTCTTAGCAAGGAAGGGAATTGAATAACTACTGAATAGACAGGCACCCTGTTCTAAGAGACAGTGTGTTAAGAGCTGGTTCTGGCTAGGGGTCAGTTGTTGTAAGGAAAAGAGGCCTGCTCATGAGAGCCTAACAAATAAGTTAACACTGGTCACATGCAGTCACCATATACTGCATTCCAGGCTATGCCATGTGTCTTTACACAACACCTCATTTTAGAGGTAAGAAGACTGAGGGCCAAAGGTTAAGTAGCTTTTCAAAGTCACTTGAACAGAAACAGTCACCAGGACTTGAACCCTAAAGGATGATTTGCTGTGAGAATATGATAAACAATTTCTTATCCATTCTCGAACAATCAAACACAGGGACTCTATTAGCGCCAGTACCCTGGTCTATAAAGTTCACTGACAATAGTGCTTACTTCAGAGCATGATGCTGAGCCGGGTTAGCATAGGCTAAGAGGTGGGCAAGTGTTAGCAGAGGCTCTAACACACAGTGAATGGACAGGGACTTTCAGCTTCCAATGGTGTGAAAACCATACAAACGCAATAGAACTCTATATCAGTTTCTCTCTCTTTGTTTTAAATAAATCTTTATTTATTTATATTAATTTTATTGTTTTACGTGTATGGGTGTTTTTACCTGGAAGTATCTTTGTGTGAGCCTGGTGCCTGTGGTGTCTAGATCCTCTGGAACTGGAGTTGCAGCCACTTGTGAGCCATCATGTGGGTGCTGGGAATTGAACCCAGGTTCTCTGGAAGAGTAGCCAGTGCCTTCAGCCACTGAGATATCTCTCTACCCCCAGCACCATCTATTTTAAAGACAGGATCTCATATAGCCCAGGGTGGCCTTGATTGAACTCACATTGTAACTGAGGATGACCTTGAACTTCTCATCTCCTGGCCTCATCTCCTGAGTGCTGGATTATGGATGTGGTGCTGAGGATGGGATCCAGGGCTTCATGTAGGCAAGGCAACCCTCTGTCTACTGGGCTACATTCCTAGTCTTAGGAGTTTTGAATTGTGATGGTTCTCTGGCTGTTGCTGTGTGATGTGTTTTGTTTGTTTGTTTGTTTGTTTTTGCAATACTGGGCAGTGGCAGTGAGCTCCCCAACCCTCCTGCAAGTGACCATGAGATCTTGAGTCAATGCCAATACTCTGCCCTGTTCCAGGTTCAGGAGATTAGGTCTATCAAATGCATTTTAAAAATATTTTCAACTTATAGTGGATTTATCTGGATATGACCCCATTTTAAGTGAGCATCTATATTAGAAAGTCTGACTTTAGGGGATCCAAGCTTTAAGGTTTTGGGAGTTGAGAGGAACAACAATTTGCTGCAGATATTTCCTAGGGGTGATGGAGGCTTAGAAGGGCAGTGGGGCTCATGATGGGTATCCGAGGTATCTAAGTCAGAGGGCAATGGGCTGCCTTCTTCCTCTAGAGGCTCTCTTGATCCCCACCCCTTACTATGGAGCCATTACCCAGCACGTCTATCTCTATGGCAATGTCCGACTGGCCTATGTCTACTTGGACAGCAAGGTAAGAGTGCCTGCATTCCAGTTCTTGCATCTGGGTATTCCTGTAGGCAAGGGCTTACTGGGTCTGAGTTTGTGAGTGGACCTGAAGGAAGCCTGTGCTAAGGGCTTTGGGGCTGCTGGGAAATGGAAGAGGAGCCTTCTGTTGACACATGGTTGGCTCCGCCTGGATACTCTGGAAGCTCCAGGCTCCAGGCTCCAAGATTCCTGGCTCCATAGAGAAGCCAAGAACTAGCCCTAGAAATGAGAGGGTGGGAAGAGAGAAGCTCAGGCCTTGGAAGTCCTGAGAAGCCAATCAGAGAAGCCAGAAATCTGAATGATAAGGGATGTCGCTGATGTAAAGGGTGGGTCTGAAGTGGCCCCTCCCATTTTCCAGAGGATGTACCCAGGAGATGATAGGGGAGGAGAGACCCAAGATTCAAGTTTGGGGTGGGGGTGGGGCACTGAATTTGGCTCCTGTCGTTGGTGGATCTTTCTCCAGGTAACTGGACTGAACACACATCCCTTCCAGCTCACAGTGGAGAAACTGGAGATGGCCCTGGAAGGAGTGAATTCTGAGGTTTGGGGATTCAGTCAAATCCAGGGCTGGGAGTGGGTGGGTCCCAGCAGGGACTAGACCGTTCATCTCTTGGCAGTTGGGCTTGTAACATTGATAAGGACATATGGAGAGAGGCTATAGAACTATCTTTGCAGGGGGCAGTCAGGCAGAATCCTGTGTCTATGGAGGGTCTTCCCATTAGAAAATGACCCTGAAACCACAGTGTACAGAGAACCAGGGAGCTTCAGAAGAAAGGGCAATAAAGGTGGCTGGATATGATCAAAGTACACACACACACACACACACACACACACACACACACACGCATGAAAATGTCAAGAGTGAAGCCCATTATTGCTGTCGATGAGTGTATGTGTCTTAGTTACTATTCTAATGCTGTGAAGAAACACCCATGACACGGTAACTCATAAACGAAAGCATTTAATTGGGAGTTTGCTTACAGTTTTAGGGAGTTGGTTCCTGATCATCATGGCAGGAAGCAGACAGGCAGGGCACTGTAGCAGTAGCTGAGAGCTTTACATCCTGATCTGTAGGCAGCAGGCAGAGAGACAATGGGTTTTTGAAGCCTCACATCTTACCCCAAGTGATACACCTCCTCCAACAAGGCCACACCTCCCTCATCCTTCCCAAACAGTTCCACTACATACCAAGCATTCAAACCTATGAGCCTATGGGAGCCATTCTAGTTCAAACCACCACCATATGCTAATTATAAAGAACACTGCCCTCCCATCCCAATCCCCTTGTTTCTGCTTCAGGGTCAAATGTGGATCATGGGAATCTATAGTAAGTCTCTCTAGCAATTTGAAGGGTGATCCTGCTCCTTTTGAGGGGCCTCCTAATAAAGGCAGAGACCCAAGTTCCTGTGCTTGCTTTCCACCCATTTTCAGCATCTGAGTGCTTCACTGAAGTGTTTACCTTTGTCATTCAAGCTCTCAAGTGCTCACTGTAGGAACTGTGAAAGTCCCGAACTCCCACGTAGAATTCTTCTGACACAAGCAGCCTCTGTGCCAGCAGCTGAGCACATTTTCCCGTTTCCTGCCTGCTTCCTTTCCATAGTTGGCACAACACAGCAGACATAACTACTCATTTGCTCCTTGTTGGGTCGTGAGAGTCCCTGTCATGCCAGCCAGCTATCAGCCTCATCCAGTGGGTTTGTAAGGCTCTGGAGTCACGGGGACACTGTAACACCCCCATGGATGGTTTCAGGGTGTCAAGGTCAAAGGCCTCATCCTCATCAACCCCCAGAATCCTCTGGGTGACATCTACTCCCCTGAAGAGCTACAGGAGTTCCTGGGATTTGCCATGAGGTGAGCTATGCCTACCCACGAAGTGGGCAGACAAGTGAGTCTTGGACAGGTCTTTATACCTTCTTAGCCCACTGCTTTGGTGCCTCCCTGTCTTCTTAAAACACCAGCTATAACACTCTAGGGCCAGGACAATACCGAACACTTTATTATTTAATTGCATGTTTACCTGTGTTCATGTGCATGTGTGAATGTGGAGGGCAGAGGTCACTCCTTAGATGCCTTCTAGTAGTTTTTGAGAAAGGGTTTCACTGGTCAAGTATGCTAGGCTGTCTGGCTAGTGACCCCCCTTCCCCCCTCAGCCCCTGGGATCCACTTGTCTTTACTTCTCCAGCACTGGCATTGTAAGTACATGCCACCGGGCCTGCCTTTTTTAGCAGGTTCTGGGCATCAAACTTGGGTCTTGTTTGCAAGGCAGCACTTTACTGCCTGGACCATCTTCCCAGCTGAGCACTTTGTGTGCTGTGTCTATGGTACTCATTATGGAAGCCCCATGGAAATGGACACTATTATCATCCCTGCTTGACAGAGCCTCAGAGTGGTCCAGTCAGGAGTGGGGACAGACATGAATCTGAGTACATTTGTCTGCAGCCCACCATGGAGGACCCCAAGGGTGCCTTCTCCCCCCAACCCCCTCAGAGCTTCAAATGCTCTAGAGTCCTCTGCTTTAGGTCTACAGCTTCCTGTTTGTAAGAATATAGACCAAAGCAGAGTATTCCCGTGACAAGTTTGGTAGCCCTGGGCTAGCCTATGGTCCTCTGGGTTTCTGACGTACTGTTACTTACCACGGGTGACATGATTTGACTCTCTCTTTCCTACCACCTGCCCACTGCAGGCATCAGCTGCATGTGATCATGGATGAAGTTTACATGCTGTCTGTGTTCGAAGAGTCTCTTGGGTACCAAAGTGTCCTGAGCCTGGAAAGGTGAGGCTCCCAGTGTAGCTGATTCTACCAGCCCCTGGACTGTCCCACAGCTTCCCAAACTCTTTCTGGGTCAGCCTACAGGGCATGGTCTGCCCCATGGAAGTTCCATTAATATCTATTTGATCTCACTGGTTCTCAGGCCAGGAAGGATTTGGGGGTCTTCAGATTATTCTATGGTATTCCCAAGAGCTCCAAGGAGGGGCCTTGGCATTATTTGAAGAAGCATTGGGTCTATGGGAACTGAACTCTGGCTGTTTCCTTCATCCTCAGGGTAGCTCCAGTTTCATCCATCCGTCAGTCCTTCTATCTGTCTATCCATCCTTCTACCCATCCATTCATCTATCCCCTGACCCACTTCATCCCTCCATCCCCCCATTCGTTCACCTATTCATCTATTTATCCATCCATCCATCCATCCATCCATCCATCCATCCATCCAATTTCTACCTAGGAAAAGGTCTCAGCAGCTAAAGACATGGCTGTCAATTTTCATGATAGTGGATAGAAGTGCTAAAATGGAGGTGACTGAGGAGCTACAAGAGGGTCTGTTTGGGCCTGGCTTCCTGGGGTTGATTAGAAAAGCCTTTTGAAGAAGTAGTGCTAGAGATATTTTCTAGCTCAAAGGTCAGGTCTCATGGTTTCTCACCAGTGAGAACCAGTGAGCTTGGCTGTGTTCTGATATAATGAATAGTTACTTACAGTAGTAGGCAGCAGGCTGTTTGCTGATGGGAATCAGTGGTTCAGACACAAGACCCCGTTTCATCTATCCATCTATGTATCCATTTGCATTTCTGTGATCTCCTGGCTTTGTGTTGCTTATGTCTCCATGTGCTCCTCTCTGTAGGCTACCTGACCCCCAGAGGACACACGTGATGTGGGCCACCAGCAAGGTGAGTTCCTGGCTAGCCTGGGTGGGAGGGAGTGGAATCAATTTCTTCTATGAGGGTTGGCCATGGCCTGTCATGTGTCTTCTTATAGGACTTCGGGATGTCTGGGCTCCGCTTTGGCATACTGTACACAGAAAACCAGCATGTGGCTACTGCCGTGGCCTCCCTCTGTCGCTATCATGGCCTCAGTGGCCTGGTCCAATACCAGATGGCACAGCTGCTCCGGGACCATGGTGACTGTCTGAGTCCAGGGACTTGAAAGGGGAGTGGGGTTGTAATGTGCATGGGACTTGGGACTCACAGGTGCCTCTCCTGTGGAGGAAATTAGGTGACATCTGACTGTGTTGTCTCTGGGTTCAGACTGCTCAGTCACTTGTTTGCCACATATGTAGCACATTTCTTTGGCTCCTGGTCTGTAGAGCAGGGCTGATAATGGTGCTAGTCTTGTAGGCCAAATATGACCTGTAATTTGGTTAGAACGATACATGGCAAGTAGGCTCTTCGCTAAAGTGAGCTCACTGGCCAGATGCAGTGCTATGCATCTGTACTTCTAGCTACTTGGGAAGCTGAAGCAGAAGGATCCTTTCAGGTCAGGAGTTCCAGGCTGGCCTGGGCAACATAGCAAGATTCCACCTTCAAAAACGAACTTTTAGTAACTTTGAACACAGAGATCAGAAGTTACTGAGGACATGTTGATATGATGGAGAGCTCTCTGCCTCTAGAAATCTGATCTGTTCCTGTCTCCAGCCATGAGTTCTGATGGCAAAGCTCTCCTGTAACTGGTTGTTGGTCGAGCCTTTCAGATGCTCTTTTGGTCCATCTCTTTTCCCTCCCTATGGTCCTAGGAAGAATTCCTGTACAGTCCCCATTTGTTTTACAGGTGAGGAAAAGGAGGACCAGATACCAAACACCCAATCTAATAACCTAAAAGTTTTACAAACAGTGACAAAACTGAGTGTTGATAAGGGAGGTGGGACAGCCATGGCACTTGCTCTTACATCGATAGTGGGGATGGAAGATGGTTAGGGCACAGTGAAAAACAATTCAGCACTTTCCTCTAAACACACCTATCAAATGACCCAGCAGCCACAGGTCCAAATGTGGAACCATCACGCATGAATGCTGATGGCTGGTGTTTTCATAATCACCTACAACTGCAGACAGTACCCCTCTACAGACAAGGTGACACACCGATGTGTCCCATCCACACCATGGAACACTGATGGAGTAAAATCCATGGCCACGTGGATTTCTCCCAAAGACACTGTGCTGTTAAGAGAAGCAAGGGTCAAGAGATTACATGCCCCATTAGACTAGTTTTGGTGAATTTGGAAATGAACAAAACTGTCATGATATATAACATGTCAGTCATGGGGAAGGGGGTGGTATAAGTCTAAATAGCATGAGTAGTCTTTGGGGTTACTCTGAGTCATGATTGGGGTGGTCCTTTCATAAGTGTGTGAATTGTCATAATCCATAGAGCTGTGCACCCCTCACAAGAGGTCAATAAATCTATGAAGACCAGAGAGATGAAGTTGCTGAAGTCTGCCTTTTCCCAGCTTGCCAGATGCCCCACTGGGATCAGGACCTTGGTCTATGTGGTTCTAAGTATCACTTTATAACTGCAGACACCTTTGGCTTGGTTTCCATCCCAAGGGACTTTGTACCCTGGGCTCTGAATGTGGTCCAGGACCTGGCATTCAGGTCTCTCAGAGCTGTGTACCTGGATCAAAGGCACTTTGTACTGAGCACTGAACACCCAGCCCCTCTGAACCTATGACTGTAAGCCAGTTAGAAGAAGGACTCCCGTGGTGTCAACTGACATGCCCTTTTGTGTTTTAGCATTTAGCAACGGTCCATGAGAGTTTTATATTCCTGCTTCTCTTCCATTTAGACTGGATCAGCCAGGTGTACCTGCCAGAAAACCATGCCCGGCTCAAGGCTGCTCATACCTATGTCTCAGATGAGCTCAGAGCCCTGGGGATCCCCTTCGTGAGTCGAGGGGCAGGCTTCTTCATCTGGGTTGACCTGAGAAAGGTAAACAGGGTGGAGGTGTGGGTGCAGGGGAATTTCAGGTCCCCATCTGGCAGCTGAAGGCACTGGAGGGTTCTCCTGCATTCTGAGCTACTTCCGTCTTCCCAGTACCTTCGCCAAGGCACGTTTGAGGAGGAGGTGTTGCTCTGGCGCCGATTTTTGGACAACAAGGTGCTGCTGTCCTTCGGTAAGGCCTTCGAGTGCAAAGAACCCGGCTGGTTCCGGATCGTCTTTTCAGACAAGAAGAACCGGCTCTGCCTGGGTGAGCAGCCTCCTCCCCCAGCCTCCCAACAGCTTCATCAGGGCACCCCTGCTTCTGACCCCAGCAGCTCCAGTGCTGACCACTTCTTACTTCTTCTTCTCAGGGATGCAAAGGGTGCGGCAGGTGCTTGAAGGGCAATCTCAAGTGGTAGAAGATGCCTCTCCTTGTCACACTCAGGATCCAAGTACCCAGCCCATATGAGCAGGCCTCACATGCAGCCACTGTCCACATGGCCTGGACATGTAGGGCCACAGAAGACAGTGTGGATGTGCCATTTGTTGGTAGGATTTTGTCACTTGGCTTTGGCCTTGGAGAACTGTTTCCTGCCCTCCCTGCTGGCAGTGGGAGGGTGTTTAAACTGATGTTATTCTGGGCTGTTGCTGTCCTCTGTTCAGTGGGACTAGGACTAGCCAAATGCCTGTGTTGTGAATAGTGTATAGGATGGGGAGTCTGCTGTAATCACAGTTCCTCCCTAGGACACAGAGTAAACAAGCAACTGTTCATTCTTTGTGATGGAGTCTCCCTGTCTTTCTTGTTGCCAGGGAAACAAGCCAGAGGAACAAAACACATGGGCCTGTGTGTGCGTGTGCGAAGACACACACACACACACACACACACACACACACACACACACACACAGATAACATTTCAAGGTGAATGGAATGAATTCTGTTTGTTCAAGTCTGAGGAGTCCAGGACAGGTCTCAGCTTGGGATGCAGTGAGCAGAACTCCATGGTGGGAGTTAGGAGGAGCTCCATGGAGCTGAAATGCTCCCTCAATGTTGTTCCCAAAGCTGTGGCCTAACAATGCAGGCAGCCATCATTGTGCCCAACATATCCTCACAGATGAGGGTACCCAATCTTAGAGAGATGGAATGTAGCTACAAATTCTTAGGGTCAGGACCCAAGTAAGGGTTGTTACCAGCATGTGGGGGATTAGAAAGGTTGCTAAGTGGTTAGAGCGCTTGCTGTTTTTCAGGGGACCCAAGTTTGATTCCAAGAGCCCACAATGGGCAGTTTATAACTCTCTATAACTCCATCCAGATCTGATTCCCGCTTCTGGCCTTGTGGGCACTACACAAACACACACACACACACACACACACACACACACACACACACAAGTGCACACCCATTAAAAATAAAACCATAAAAAGGAATCTCATGTGTACTATTCATTTGTGGATTGCTTTCTGCTATTTTCTTGGTTGGTCTGAGGATTGCCCATTTTCTACTGTGTGTTTTTTCCTGTCAGGGGTTTATTTTTCTCCCTTTTTTTAGATTTTTTTTCTAAATTTCCCCATGTCGTAGTAGGGTTTTTATTTCTGTGAGGAGACCATGACCATGACAACTCTTACAAGGTAAAACATTTAATTGGAGTGGCTCGCTTACAGTTTCAGAGGTTCAGTCTGTCTTCATCATGGTGGGGAGCATGGCGTGCAGGCAGACACGGTGCTGGAGCTGAGAGTGCTACATCTTGCAGGCAACAGGAAGTCGACTGACTGTCACTCTGAGGGGAGCTTAAGCAAAAAAGACCTCAAAACCCACCCCCACAGTGACACACTTCCTCCAAGAAGATCATAACTCCTAATAGTGACACTGCCTTTGGGGGTCAAAACCATCTTTCTTCTTTCAAAACCATCACACCGTTCTTCCTTTCATCTTCCACTCATTTGTAATTTATACACTCTATTTTCCTTCTGACTGTGAGCTTAGAAATTATAACACCTACAAATAACTTGTTAATAGAAACTTGTGCCTTGACTTTCCCTTTAGCGCTATGAGCGCCCCCTAAGAAGACCTATCCCTGGTGATCCCTGACTATTTTTGTGGTCTGTTTTCACTTTTGCCTTTCATTTTTGACCCTGAAGTCTTGTTTTACACAGGTGGTGTTTGCTTCAGTTGGTCACATACTTGGCCTGTGCATCTGAGGCTTCCATGTGGAGTCTCATGTCTTCTGTATTGAGTACAGCTCCTGGGGGGTGGGGTGGAAGGAGTCTGCTCAGCACAAACTTTCAATCTTTGCTTGTCTGAGGGTATCTATTTTGCTTCCTTTTAGAAATATAACTTTACTGGCTATGGAAATCTGGGATTAGTAGTTGTCTTCTGATTTCTGTTGTTCCGATTGCTCCTTCCAAGATGACCTCTCATCCCACCCCAGTTTTTCCATGCCTTTAAAAGACATTCTTTTTTTAAATTTTTTTTATTGAATACTTTTGTAACCCAGGTCTATTTTTCAACTTTCTTTTTATTTATTTTTTGTGTCTTTCACATCATACATCTGATCCCATTCATTTCTCCATTCCTTTGTATCTGCCCTCTGCCCTTGCAACCACCCCCAAAATAAAATAAAGTCAAATATTCCTTTTTGTTTGTTTGTTTTTGGAGACAAGGTTTGTCTGTGTAGCTTTGGAGCCTATCTTGGAACTTGTTTTGTAGACCAGGCTGGCTTTGAACTTACAGAGATCTGCCTGCCTCTGCCTCCCTACTGCTGGGGTTAAAGGCATGTGCCACTATTGCCTGGCTAAAATAAAATTTAGGAGGAAAAAAAAAGAAAAAGAAAAATCAGTCTGGTCATTGTAGTGATATTTTGTGTGTAATCTAACAAATAAAGCTTGCCTAAAGAGCCAAGTGCACAGCTAAGCCACTAGTTAGCCATAGAGGACAGGCAGTGATGGCCACATCTTTAATCCACGTGGGAGACAGAGGCAGATGAATCTCTGTAAGTTCAAAGTCACCAGGGCTGTATGAGAGTGAATAAGTCTAAAAGAGAAACAGATCACACCTTTGATCCCAGCACTGGAATGACACGCCTTTAGTACCAGCACTAGAGAGGAATAAGGCAGGAGCTCAATGTAGTCTCAGGACAGTCTGAAGTTTGGTGGAGAGCATTGCAGTCTGCAGTCACTCTGAGGACAGGATCACTCCCCCGACCCCCTTTGGTCTGAGCCTTGGTAGAGCTAAGTATTCTCTAGTGGCTTGGCTGCTTTGCTTTTCTGATCTTCAGCTTTAACCCCAATATCTGTCTCTGGGTTTTTATTATTTGTGCTACAAATCGTGGAAGCTGTGGTGTGACACAGTGAGTCATGCAGCGAACCCATTTATCCATATATCCTTACTTGCAAGTGTTTCCTGTAAAGTCATTGGTCTGGTTTCTGCTACACCATTGATACTGGACCCTCACTGGGACTCCTCTTGGATACCCTGTTATTGCCCTGTGTTGTGGAGATCCTGAAGCTTTGGGTCTGCAGGACCAGCCCCTTTACATGGTCCAGCAGAACATAAATGGGATGGATGTTGGAGTGGATCAACTCATGATCCTGGTTCTGGGCTCGGGTAGTTGCAGGGTTGGCCAACTCACCAGCTCTTCCCTGTCTTCACCACGAGGGTAAGCTTTCCAGCATTGCCCTGGATAGTTCATCTCTGAAGCAAAGATCAAGGGACGGAGCCAGTTCTCCTGCTTTTATGCTCTCAGGGTCAGCTCTCCCACACCTACACCATCAGGACCAGCTCTACTGTGTTGCCCAGGCAAGATTCAGGGGCCACTCTCCTGAGAGCTGCAGTTCATGAGGGGCAGGGACAGCTCTCCCACTCTTATGACCTCAGGGCCAGCTTTCCCACCTGCCACAGGTGGCAAGGGGTTGGGGTGAGGACATCTCTTCCCCATCCACATTACCATATGGCAGATGAGGGTTGGGGCCAGATTCCCCCGGTGCTCACTTTCTCAGGATCAGTTTAAAAGACATTCTTTATCATTTATGTCATATAGTGTCATCATTGTGTATTAAGATAATGATTTATCTTGTTATCTCATTTCATATACACTGTTATTCGTGCATATATGGCTTCCTCCATCAGTTTTGGAAAGTTTTCAGCCTTTATTATCAACTATTGCCTTTTCTCCATTCTCCCTCTGGTAGTTTGAATGTAATTGGCCTCCATAAACTCAGGGAATGGCACTATTAGGAGGTGTGGTTTTACTGCAGTAGCTATGGCCTTATTAGAGGAAGTATGTCACTGTGGGGGCAGGCTTTGAGTTTTCCTATGCTCAGTACTCCCAGTGTCTGAGTCCACTACTTGTTGCCTTCTGATCAAGATGTAGCCAGCACTGTCTACCTGCATGCTGCCATGATAATAATGGGCTGAACCTCAGAACTGTAAGCCAACACCTCCATTAAATGTTTTCTTTTGTAAGGGTTGCTGTGGTCATGGTGTCTCTTCACAGCAATAGGAACCCCTACTAAGACACCTCCTATCTTAGTTAATTTCCTGTTGCTGAGACAAAACATGATGACCAAGGCAACTTAGAAAGTGTTTAATTGGCTGTACAATTCCAGAGGGTTAGAATCCATGATGGTGGAGCAAAGGCATAGCAGCAGGAACAGCTGAGAGCTCACATCTTGATCTACAAGTAGGTTGCAGAGAGAGAGAGAGAGAGAAAGAGAGAGAGAGAGAGAGAGAGAGAGAGAGAGAGAGAGAGAGAGAGAGCTAACTGGGAAAGCCCTCCTGAATGACACACCTCCTCTACCAATACCAAATATCCTTCCCAAACAGTTCCACCAACTGGGGACCAAGCATTCAAATATATGAGCCTGTGGGGGCCATTCTCACTAAAACCATCATACCATTTGGAGTCCTATTGCCCATATGACAGACAGACTGGCTGCCCCTGAGTCTCTTACTGTCTTTTCATATTTTTCTTCTCCTTTGCTCTCTCTGCTACAATGAGTAATTTCCTTTGCACTTTATACAATTTAATAATCCATTCTGTAGCTAGTTATAACCTGCCTTGGTCTTTGACTTTTACATCTTAGACAATGTATCTTTCCCCCCAAAGTGATAAAGATTATTGTTCATAATATTTTTAATTACTGAAACATGGTTGCTTTGTATGTTGTATAAGTCATCTCTGTGTCCACAGAGGATTGGGCATGGCCCCTTGGAGTGCTAAAATTTGCAGATGTTCAAGTCCTGTATAAAACTAGCTTCATCCTTGTGTACAACCCAGGTGCATCCTTCTGTGTACCATACTTTGTTCATTTTCTTTTGAGATAAGAGTCTTGCAATGAAGTTCCCCCACCTCCAGTTTCTCAATGCTTTTAAAGACATTCTTTATCAATGACAACATGTAGAGTCACCACTTCATGTCAAGACACTGGTTTTATTTATCTCATTTCATGTACAGTGGGTAGCTACTGTATAGCTCAGGCTACCTCCATCTCGAGGGAAACTATCACTAGACCCCTGTATATGTGAATCATCTTTAGATTACATATAACACAAATATAACAGAAAATACTATTTGAGTGGCTGTCGGTGTGAGAACTATAAACTCTAGTGAATCATTTAGCAAATGCTTAGGGAATTACTATTACTAAAGTTGTTCTGGGTGTTTATCTGTTTACAAAGCTTCTAGCAGCACAGACTCTAAACTTTCTTGCTTCTTATCATTTGTATACCTAGAAGTGTAGCTGCACCATTTTAATCATGTTGTGTGGCAGGATGTTGGCTTTCCCTGATTGCTGCTTCTTCATACTGACTTTTGATACATATAGGATTTTTTTTCTCTTTCTGGGTCCTCGTCATCTGTCAAAATCTTAAATATTCTCTAGGACAATGACCCACACCCCCAGACAGAGTTTCGCTGTATAGCCCAAGCTGTCTGTGAGAACTCACCATCCTCCTGCCTCTGTCTCCCAAATGCTAGGCCTCCAGGAGTGAGCTGCCACATCTGCCTAGAGATGTTAGGTCTTTCCCGATCTTAGATCTTTCCAATTGCAAGTGGCCTCTTTCCTTTCCAGCCTGAAGCATTGTGTTTATATCTTTCTCTGCTACTCTCCGTTTTATGTAACTTTACTTGTATGCCTGTCTTTTTCCTAGTTAGCTCTTCCATGAACCTGGCACCTTTTATTCACTCAACAAACACTGGACATTTGCCATATTCCAGGCACTATGCAAGCTTAAGGCTATAAAATGTGACTGAGATAGGCAAGGATCCCCAAGGTCCATGGTTAACACACATGTGGTAGTTTGAATGTAATTGGCCTTCATAATCTCATAGGGAGTGGCACTGTTTGGAGGTGTGGCTTTGGTGGAGTGGGTGTGGTTTGTTGGAGGAAGTGTGTCACTGTGGAGGCGGCTTTGAGGTTTCCTATGCTCAGGATACTGCCCAGTGTGTCAGTTGACTTCCTGTTGCCTGCCTATCAAGATGTAAGGAGTCTCAGCTCCAGCACCACATCTGTCTGCACACCACCATGCTCCCCATTATGATAATAGACTGTACTTCTGAAACTGTATGGGAGACACCCCAATTAAATATTTTCTTCATAAGATTTTCTGTGGTCATGGTGTTTCTTCACAAAAATAGCAACTCTAACTAAGACAACATGCAACACAGTAAGTTCTCATTTAATTGCCAGTATGTATAAATCATTTTAAAAAACATGTTTTAAAATACACATAAATACAAAGGAAACAGATGAGGAATAAGACAGTCTCTGGGTGCACACAGTTTCCGTTGACCTGCTTTTAAGAAGAAAAACCTTGGGCTGAAGAGATGAGTTTAGTTCCTAGCACCATCAGTCAGTTTACAACTATCTAAAACTCCAAGGGATCCAACACCCTCTTCTGGCCTCTGCACGTACCTTCATGTACATTCTCTCACACAGACAAATACATAATAAAAAAGAAAATCTTAAAAGTTATCTCTTTAAAAAGATGTAAGCCAGTGTTCTAGGAATTTGGCTGTGGTAATATTGGCCATTGGCCCTGCTGTCACCCATCCAGTTCTCAAATGGGTATGTTTATTCTGAGTTCAGTAGTGTGTGTGTATGCTATGTGTATTTGGAGGACAGAGCCACATTCTGTTAGATATGGGGTAAGAAGAATGTGGACAGAAAGTTCTGTTCCTAGATTGTTCGTGTTCCAATCTTCCTAGGTCTCTGACAAGGAGATATTAACTCCAAAATACTGAAATCATTGCCGGCGAGGAAAGCCTTCATAGGTCTCCAGATACAACAATCTCCGTGGATATAAGTAACAATGTCCTCTAGGTGGAGCCAAACTACAGCCCACAAAAGCAATCCCAGCTATGGTATTGCTACCTTTCAGAGTAGCACCAGTCACTTTTTGCTATTTTAAGACTTGCTGTCTTGTGACAGATGCATGAGATACAGAACTTCCATTTTTGCTGTCACAATTACTTCCAAATTTTTTATAACTGCTTCTTGGATTTTTTCCCCAGAAAAATATTATATTTATGCCTGGGCTTCCACATTTTCTCCTGTTTTTTTTCTTCACAAGCACATTTTATCTAAAAGTGATTGTGCTGTCCTCTTGTTAGGGACCCTGGTTTCTTACTAGCCTGTCTTGGAGATATTACCTTGCTGACGGATATGCATCCTCGAATTATTTCCTAATTACTTGCACTGCTTCCCAGTGTCTTATTATTAGAAACATTGTGGTGAATGTTTCAAGAAGTGGAGAGATTTTCCATAGGGTAAACTGCATAGAAGATTGGTTGGAATTGCTGGTACAGGGTGTTTTTACACCCTGATGGATATTGCCAAATTGCCCTGTGTTCATGAAAATGCTTTGTATATTTGGGGTGGCCTCACTACGTAGCTCAGGGTAGCCTCGAACTATTGGGTGGTCCTCTTTGTTTTGCTGGGTGCCTGCGTTTTGACAGTTTTATCCCTGGAGCTTGGAGCCAGAGCTGGGATGCTCGCCTGCGCCGACTCCTCCTGTCCAGCAGGGGTCGTGGCGCGACCTCTCCGCATGCGCAGTGCGTGCCGTGTCAGCCGCCCGGAGCTAGAGGCCTGCGCTGCTTTCCCC